ATTGCCTCCCTTTAAATTTGATGCTATGACTTTCTCTGCTTTTAAATGACAAAGTAATCAATATATGTCTTTGAAATAAAACTCATTCCGAGTATTTACTTACAATGTTTACTAATGCAAACTTGTTCTCGTCACTATATGGCTGGAATAATGCCGATGTGACGTAAAGCCCAACTGAACTCAACTCTACTGTGGCAACACGCCTCCATCATCCCACAGTCTCCGCTCCACCATCGCCCATCCAATACCATGGATGGGAGCTGGAATATCAGAATTGGCAATGTGTGCCCTTTTCTAAATGTCAGCTGACCCTTGCAATGTGTTCCGCAATACTCTTTTGATAGTGAGGATGTGTTCCTATATTAACATTGCAAGGGGGACAGGGGACACCATTTTTTAACACAGCGTAAAATTTCAGTCGTTGGGAGTGTGAATCATTGACATTTTGCTCACGAAGTTCCACACCCCTTTCCCGCTGTGAAGATGTGTTTCCAGGCCCCGGGATCATGACAAAATCGTACGTCTAAAATTTGCTTAGCACAAAAAATCTTAAGTCTAAAACATTTTGCTTAGCTAAGATTTTAGATAAGACTGAATCATGAAACTCTCTCAGCAAAATCTTAGCTAAGACTAAGACTAAGACAGTTACCATCGTAATTTTAGAATGATGTAATCATGTCCGGTCACTCTTAATTAATTGAGGAGAATAGTATAGTAGCAGGCACCTGCTGAAATGTTCCAAACAAGTCAACTGACGCTTTTATCCCTTTAATGGTGTCTTTACGGTTGGGATGTTTTCGAAAATACACCAACACGAACACCTAAGTGCGCTCTCTGCCATATTGCATTGGATAGTGTTTACAAAATCACGTTTCGCGAAGGCCGGTACTGAGACGCTATGTATATTTCATATTCAGCTGCGACAAATGCATCACTGAATTCCTCATTCATTTTAGTACCAAATAAGAAATAGTCTTTGTCACTAAAACTAAGTGTCTAGGTGATATGAAGCGAAAGATATTGGGCATGAAAACTAACGCTGTGCGCGAAAGACAGCACTTGTTGAAATGTAAACAAAGAAAAATTCAGACTTCACACTTCACAAAATTCTCAAATTTCAGACACCCATTCGTCTATTCGTAGCATGCATAGGTTAATACTTTAAGAACATACATGGAAATAGTATCGAAGCAAGAAATAGCAAATTAATAATAGATACAATACAGTAATTTGATATGTTTATATGAAATTGTCCAAGTTTCTGTGCAGCGTGACGCTATGACTGACGGAAGACCTCGCAGAACGATAACGGTAATGATCGGCATATCTGCCTTCTTCTCTTACTGGACAAAAAATAACATATACCATATAACAATACACAGATAGTCAGATTCTTTCTGATTACTTTCATCACACATTTATGTACAAACGATCCCCGAATCAAGGGAAAGGTCCTCGCAAAATCCTGTGTACCCCTGTCAGCGAAGCCGCCATTTTGTAAGAAATCGGTCAACTGTAGTGATGTCATACGTCAACATTGTTACTAGTACATATTTGGCACTTTCTTTGAGGTGAAGGTAGGTTGAAAAAGCGTAAACACAATTGCCATGTCCCACCGATTACACTTTCAGTGTTATAATGTATATTTTGAGTATCATTCAGACACTTTTTCATGAAACTAATTTCATTATCTACATTTAGCCTTGTTCTATATCATATCCGTGGATATAGGGTATACGGTTTATATTTTTGGAAGGTTTTTGTTTGTTTGATAATAGTACACCACATTTTAAACCCTTAAACAAGTATTAGAAGAACAAACGTAGGCATATACTGCAACATGTACTTTAGTTCCTATCATGTGCAATATTCGCAATTCGGACCAATATTACAGTTTCATATGAACACGTTAATGAACAGCGATTTAATTTAACCTTACAAGTAAAACTGACATTATTAATGAGAATGATTTAAATATTTTATGAAATGTACATGCACACATATTTAAAGGAATTGTCTTGTTCATTGAAGTTGGTTATTTCGTTTTATTGACAAAACAGTGATTGGTCAGGTGCGTGTTTGTTAAAAACATTTTACGATTCACTTTCATTGTTTTCGCTAATATAATCAGTTCATATTCGAAAAAATATATCGTAATGACAGTATATCAAACTGTAACTATATTTCTACGAAAACTGTAAACAAAATATAGACGATGTCATGTCTTACATTGGACAAACTTTAGATCATTATTCTGATAGTTCCATACAAAAAGAGCTATGTTTTTGCATCTTTATTGTATACTTATGACGAGAAAAGCCACATAGTGATAAACAAAGAAAAGTCTTATCCTGAAAAATATATATTTAGTTGTTGCGAAATATTCTTTTTCATTTACGTTAAATTGATGCCAAACAGGTTGTTCATATTAAGATACACACTCAAACCAGATCTATTCAGGACATTATTTAAATGGTAAAATCAGTCTTTTTAAGTTCTGTCGAAGGGTGTTAAATTCTGACATAGAAACCGAAACCTTTTATACAATTCATGGAAATTAGGTTAATATATACTAATCAGCATACCAATGTCGTCTTTTTCCGACGTCGCAAAATACATAAAACAAGCAATGACGTCAACTACAATGTTGTAATCTTTCCAGTAATTCAATACGTTTGAAGATATGGCTAGTACTGGGTTAATAATGATGCAAAATTAGTCAAAATACATCTACACAAACAAGAGAATATGTGAATCAAAGAACTAATTGACATATCAGATAGGGCCATCGAAATCGCTATTACGTGCTTTCTCATGTGGTACATTGTCATCTTTACTTATAAATTATGAAACTACCAAAACGTATCCGCTCACATTGGGGAACTTTGTACTGAATAGTATGGTTCACCGTGAAAAAAACATAACGAAAACATAGCGTCCATATCCACAACAAATTCTCTCCAAGTGATCTGAGTTACATTGACCTAGTGCTAAGCATATATACTTATGTCGTTCAGAAATCAGGCTGCACTTTCTTCGCTCACACTTTCCGTAACGATGCCAAATTAAAAAAAATATATACATCCCCCTTCTTCATGTTCCATTCCTGCTTGACAACGGTACAAGAATCTGTATCAAAACGTCGCACTCACGAATAGAAGAAATTGTTATCCATAAAGTTTGTTCTATATTGTACTTCCCAAGTTCTACTAAAATGCCACTCAAAGAAGTTCTTTGCCAAATGGTAGGTTTAGTCACCTGACGCTGGCAGATTTTATAAGAAATACTCGCCATTTCCGAATACTCCGATGTTAATTTTAACAATCCATTCTAATATTAGGCAGTTTTAAAAGGAAAAAAACTTACCATGAGACATTCTGTCTTCAGTAATGAAAGTTAAAACGATGGTCAGAATAACCCGCCTCATCATGGCACAGGACTCCCTGTCATGCCTCCTCCACAGAGAGAGTGTTCACTATGTCCCTGGGTGTGAGCGAGGTTGAACTTAATGGCATCTAAATTTGAGACGAAGACTCTTACTTCTGTAAATATTTCACTGTCGCATTCTTTACCTTTCTGTTCATCGTGTGTGTTTATAGATCAATACTCGAAACTGTTCATGGTCTATGCACGTGGCACCGTATTTTCCGTTATGTACACTAGTGCTAAACACACATACAACACATATATTCGAAAACAGTCCTGCATTTGTTTTTTATAAAACTGTATGTTTTGATAACTTTTTATATTTCGTAATAATACTCACCTCTTATTGGGCCTATTTATTATTGAATATACACTCGACTATGCCAAAGTTTTGTCTTACTAGAGATAGGGCCCAATTTATTTGTAATCCCAAGTCACGTTTTCAGTGATATTTAAGTCTGCCACAGTGAAGTTCAATAAACAGTTAAGTATGCGTGTGTTGATATATCAAGCTGACGCAATCCAGCAATTACATGTTCCATGGTATTAATGCCCAGCCCGTCTCTCTGCATCAATCAATAGTTAATCACCGTTTTGCTTTGGGATAACACAGAATACTAACATTCGCTCATGGGAGTTGGTATGTCCCTCCGAATTGATGTGCTATAATAAGTCTAAATATTTGATTCCACTGGAAATGAAATTAACAGAATGTGTAGAAAAAACACTGCATACAATATTCGAAAATAAGCAACTTGATTTTCTGGTTCACAGATCACTTATTTGTCTTGTTTGTTCACAGGTCATCATATGGCCGGAAAACCCCTGTATGGGCTGAAAATACTTACAGTTGCCAAAGCATATTGTATGAATGGTGCTGTCGATAGGAAACACTTTTTGCAAACATTTGACGTCATCACTGATTTTCAGTAGTTTATTCATATTTTTCATATACTTATATTAAACGAATCACTGAGTGGTTGAGGGATCGGATATCCCCCATGTGTGATTCTCCACCTTACAATGTGTGTGGTTCGTATGCTGTGCCTGCGCAATGATACAGCTGGACTACTGCTGAAAGCAGCGTTAGTACTTTCCGTTTGGATCATACCAGTGAAGATCCGGGTTAGAATTGATTTTCAGTAACCCATGCTTGTCGTAAGAGGCGACTAACGGCATCGGGTAGTCAAGCTCGCTGACTTATTTGACACATGTTATCGTATCCCAATTGCGGAGATCGATGCTCATGCTGTTGATCACTGGATTGTCTGGTTCAGACTGGATTATTAACAGACCGCAACCATATAGCTGGAACAATGCTGAGTGAGGCGTATATCTAAACTCGAAACTGTTTGGATCTACTAACCAATACTTGCGTCCACTGAAAATAATCAAATTTCAAAGACACGCATAACCCAAACTGCCTGTTTGGCGGCAGAAAGATTTGCATTTTCACCTCCTTCTAGTAGTGGTGTGGTTTTATTACGGTTGGTATTTTAATTTATATTTAGATTCGGCTACAGTTGCTAATATCTGAAGGGATGGTGTAAATCCAAAATGGATCCATGGGGAACAAAGTGTTCTTTTGGTCCTCACGGTCCTTAGTATGGTGATCTACCTTCAGTTGTTAGCAGTCTACAGCCTGTTTATATTGGTTTGTCTTTTGTGATTGAAATGTGTTAGATTAATTAGTAGTTTTACATTTATAACTGTGTCCTCAGGGACTTCAGGGTCACCTGTTACCCCCTCTCCGCAGGCTATGGCTGATGGATAGGGAAGCGGCAGACTCATCCAATACAACAGGTGATTATGATATTTCCTATGATATTGGTCACCTTTCAATACTTATTTGGAACGTAGATGCATTAATGTCCAAAATACATGATCACGGATTTCTTCATTTTCTAAAGACATTTCACATAATATGTATTTAAGAGACGTTAATTGACAGAATTATCGACATCCCGTAACTATCGGCTTGTTTATGCTGCTAACGCTCATACACTAGCCAGTGAGCGTAGATTATCAGGCGGTGTTTATATGTTTATACATGTAAACTTGAATATCGACAACGCTGAGGGCATTAAGACAAATAAATCCCTTATAGAATCGGATAAAGATGTCCTCTTAATAGGGATGTATGTTTTCCCCTCTGGCTCTTCCGTTTACAATTCAGGAGAACGGGTGTCCGGCGTGGAAAAACTCGACCAGTGGTTGACACACACATCGTCGAGGTAATAATAGGTGGGGAGGTGCTGGGTGTGGTGTCATCGACTATTTCATATCATCTGTAAATATTCACGATCTTTGTAAATAGGTTCTAGTGCACTCGAGAATTGAATCAAAACATTTACAGTTAGTCTGAAGTTCAGCTGTAAATATGCAAAACCTGTACAATACTCAAGATCAATGTAATAGTAGCCATTTTATAGATACACATGGAACGATAGACATGCCAGCGAGTTCCTAGATTTACTTAATACCTATTTGTAAATTCTTTAACTGAATTGATAAGTGTCGATGTAGAGTCATCATTTAATTCTTGCGCCAGAAATCTTTTAAATGCTGCAGAAGTGTTTAGAAAAAACCCAAACAAGTCAAATAACCAGATTTTTTTATAATAATAATTGTCGGCATGCAAAACGAGAGGCAAGACGTGAACTTAGATGTTATAGAAGTACCAAACCATCTACCAGTAAACAACGTTATTGTGCATTGCGTAATATATATAAGAACGAATGGAGAAAAGCTAAATATCTGTAATAAACGTGAAAAGAGTTCCAAGTAATGTTCATCAATCAACAACCCATCTGCATTCTAGAAAGAACTTCGAAGTATCTCTGCTAAAAGACAAGCTCATGTCTCAATCATTTAGAGAGGGGTAAAGCAGCTGGACACGACGGAGTTATAATTGAATCATCGTAAAATCATCATGCCTTTCCGTGTGAAATTGTTTAATATGCTTTTGACAAGAGTATTTTTCCAAATGCCTGGAGTAAAGCTATCATAGTCCCTCTTCATAAAAAGGGCGATCGAAGCAACCAAGACAATTATAGAGGAATATCCTTTCTATGGGTACTAGGGGTAGTTAAGTGAACTATAAACATCTGTCTTGAATATTACGAACTGGTCTAATATAAGAGGCAAGATACCAGAGAGTCAGGCAGGGTATAGACGGGGATAGTCAACTGTAGACCGTATTTGTACTTTAAATGGAATTATAGAAAAGTGTCTCCTTAAGAAGAAAGGGATAGTATCAATATGCACCGGATACCCAGGATGCTGACATCAGGGATACTGGGGTGTTATATATACTCCAGAGAATATTACATGAATAGTAATATTTATGTAACAATTTCAAGCCAGACTGGTTCGACCCTTGACAAGATCAGTGATCATACCGTCTGATGAATCCTCAACACTTTTTTCCAATGTAATCTGTTATAATATTACAAATATGTCGAGTATTCACTGGCGATGACATGCCAATGCAAAGGAACATACAAGCATCCAATGGGCGGATGTTAAATATTTGTAATACTAGTATTCCAATGTAAAGCGGTGACTAACTATTGATTGATGCACTGATACTGGCTAGGTATTTACCCCGAGGAGCATAATTATATCACCACATACATAACAGACTGACAGGCTGAAATTGATCCCCCAAAACATGGATTATTGATTCACAACTTCGTCTCGAGTGTCTCAGGTGAATTTCCTGAAATGCCATGTACCGTATAGCGGCTCGTGGGTTAGTGGCTGATTTGTGTACTGCGGACGATACAACAGAGAATGTCGTGCGCGATGATGAGGCAGTATATTTTGACAATCTTTGTTATTGTCATCATTGAAGCCGGAATATCTCATGGTAAGTTCTTCTCTTCAAAACTGCCTAAATATTCAATGATAATTCGGGGATGGCAAGTATTTCGTTTAAAATCTGTCAGTATTAGGTGACTAAATATGACATTTTGGGTACTTCATATAAGACATCATATTAAATACACCAATCTTCATCTAGGGACGGCTCAGGGCCAAGTTGACTTTGGTTACCTTCACTAAATGTTAAATCGGCATGTTAACCTGCATGTTAAGCTTGTCAGCGAGATATCTCAAGAACCATTCGCTAGAGTTTCTTCATATTTCACACCAAACTCCTCACCATATCTTAATAGCTCAAGCTTCATCGTGCTAGATCTACATACGGTGCTTAACCTGCAGTACAAGGCGGTAAGAAAATTAGGTTCTATTTAGTTCAAATATCAGTGAGTGAGTGAATTTAGTTTTACGCCGCTTTTACCATTATTCCTGCAATATTACGGCGGGGGACACAACATGTGAACTGGGGCGGTGGGGTAGCCTAGTAGTTAAAGCGTTTGCTCGTCACGCAGAAGACCCGGGTTCGATTCCCCACATGGGCACAATGTGTGAAGCCCATTTTTGTTGCTCCCAGCCGTGTTATTGCTTGAAATGTCAGAATTTCTGCTTTGCAAAATTGACACTTGGAGTCTTTGTGCTTCTTATTGACCTTGCTCCTGTTAGATTTACAAATCTGCCGATCGATCTCAAGCTTTGACCTGCTCCATTTCCGCTCTGCTGGACGCTTTCACATTTGGCACTGTTCAGTGTACCACGGACAGTCTGACAGTCTGACAGCCTGGAGAAAACGTCATATTTTATCAATATAGTTTAAACACCATTTTTTCGATAAAACTCAGAGACTCGATGCGGTGTGTCACATTACTTAAACTTGTCCATGAGCTGTAATTAGTACTACGCTCCTTGTATATTACATAAGCAGACGGGTTGAAATTGAACTGTCGGTTGGTTCGACATGTCGCGATGTGATCATCGCTCTAATGCACCTAAGAGATTATCAAGTGGACTGCACAGGTGGTGAAAGTTGTATTTGTGTTGAATCGGTTGTATCCTGTTGAATTGTTTCGCGTTTTGCTCTCCGATTGTATGTCATGTGTGATTGAGGAAGCTAGCGTATTGTTACTTTGAAATTAAGGTGAACTTTATATTGTTCCATGGTCGCAGTGTTGTGTGTACATACGCTCATATATAATATCTAAACTGATAGTTAAAAATCCGACCGTTTGTAAACATAGTCACTGTGAACGAAAATTATTTCATACTTCAAAACGAATTGGAACAGTAACATTTTTTATATTATCATTTACAGCTTAAAAACATTGAATGAGATAAATACTGTGTGATGAAATGGGTGACAATGGCATAAATGACGTTTTAATGACATATGTAATTGGGGGAAATATATACCATAGATCACGGTAGATTTATGTCTAATATGTAAAGATTGGGTATTTCTAAGGAACTGAAATAGGTGCACAGCAAATATTAATGAGCTTTTTTAATCTGAGATCTATTTGGACGATAGCAAGTTACTAAAACACAACTTTACCCAACTTCAAAAAATTGTTCATTCACAAACTGCTCATGCTCAAGCAGATCCCGTTTATACTGCAATAACAATATGGAGATATATAACGAAACTTTACCACTTTAGCGATAGCAAATTCCCATGTATTGCATAGAGCGGCGATGATTGGATGATGATTGAATAGTTGATTGAGTCCATCACTTGGACGATTGAGTGGATATCGACTTTGTCATGCTGTTCAATTAGCATGCAATCAACCTGTTTACAACTTGTTTATCTTACTTTCCGGCTGGCCCAATCCAACGGTGTGAAACTTCCTAAATTACCTGCAGGTAAATTACCTGTTGTTATTGTTATCCTGCTCTGCTTGTCACTACATGTATAAACTTCTAGTTACCTGGTTGTAGTCACTTTTATCTTGATAACCGTGTAAGAATAAACATAGGAACGCCCCTCTTTGCATCAACTAGAAATTGGTATAGGTGAGGTCGTACTGTAAGAATAGTGTGACCATCAAGGGATGAACATGCAGACGTCATTCATGATATTTCACGTATGCATCAATTGCATAACACTGTCGCTCATCACAAACCTAAACGGCTGGTCCCTTATGGCAGGTGTTAATTAGAGAATGTATAGCCCTATTATTATGTCACACACAAGAAGCATTATGTATTCGTACAATGTGAACTCAAATAGAGCAAATAATGCTTAAAATTAGAGGCATTGAAACAGGGGATCCTTGAGAACCGTGAAAACTGATAGAAGTAGCGGAAAAATCCATCCTAAAGTTATATAAAAGAGTACAAGCTTTGTAAATATCATCTTTTTTGTAAAAATGAATTTTACAAATTGTAATTGTTTGTAAATTATCTTTTTTATACTTGTGTACTTTATTGTTTCCTTCTGAAACTCTGTGGGGTACAAGCAAACTCATCTTGTTACTAGGTATATAAGTTTTTCAAGGCACAGCACAATGATACTGAGTGCAGTCCCAGCACACACGACGATGAAGCCACCTCCAATCTGGTTTAGTGTGATTGACTTCAATGTTCTGTTTGGTGGACAATGTGTCAGGTTTCTCTTGACGATCCACTTTCCCCATAATTGATCAAGCAGCCCGATCGCACTCATCTGAGACATTCTGTCATAATACAATAACTGATATGAAAGCTTATATAAATATTGATATATACTTTGAAACCCCGACACAATTCCCATTTTCACTTAACAATTACTTGTGCACGACGCCTTCAAACAATCAAACTACAGCGTAAATGAGTTCTTTTCAGACACATCCGATGAAGGTACATCGGATGGAAGTTTAACATATCATTTGCCGATAATCAATTTTCATATCCTCTTACACCATGTTCAGAAAGGTTGTTCTGGATAACTTACATCTTATCTATGTCGGCTTTCAGAGGGGACCCTTTGGGCAATCCAAATGCTTGTTGTGTGAAAAACAGCCTCTCTCCCAGTTTCTGTAATTGGCAGTCATCAGCCATGTGCTTCTCTAGTTCTGATGTATAATGCACAAAAGCGTATTTCTCACGTCTGACCCGTTTTAGATGGTTTTCAAGAGAGGATTCCAAGAACACCGGGTCGTTGGCTTTGATTGTTGACCACAGTCTTCCGTACAAACTTGATGGGTCTCTTGTCTGATAGATAAGACGAAAAGTGACGATGAACAAATGTACAGCAACAATTCCCCCTGCTCAATCCATATTTGAACACTACAGATAGCCTACAGAGGCACATTGATGTTCTTAAAGATTATTGGCATATATATTCGATTAGTTATACTTTATAAAATAGACTTCAAGGTTCTAAGGTTCAAAGTTTGTAAATATGAAACAGGGATCATTGAAATGTAAGTAAAATTGGATTGTGTGGCTATTTACAACTATTTGGATCAAGCCTGCTCAAACACTTCACATTGATCTGACCATGTGTGCGATTCGGCAGTTCTTGGTTCTTTTGTATTATATCACTTACGTGCGTTAACCAAATCAATTATAATGTATATTTGCAAGATATTTGGTGCTTAAGTAGCTCCTGTCTTGGTATATGAACTAAAATTGAAGAGATCTATCAGGTAGCTCATACAAACACTAATCATGTCGTAAGAGGCAAGGGCAGACAAATTTCAGCAGACAAGCGTTGAATTACGTACTAAAGTTCTAATATGTTTTTTCAAGATAGTTCATACTAAAACAGCACCAATAATTATATATTCACATTCAGTCTAGGGTTAGAATAAATAGAAAGAAATTGCAGCAACGATTGTAATAAATGAAACGACTCAAAAAGTTCATAGTCCTAAGAAATCCAAAATTGAAGATTCCAAAATCACAGTCAAAGAGTGATGATAACAAGTGTTCAGGAAAATGTGATCCTGCCCAATGGGGAACTCATCGTCGAATCGTCAAACATCACAGCATGAATAAAGAACAAAATCCGTAGCTAGTATAAAGCAAAATACCTTCAGTATATGACTATTGATACCGGTTGGTCGCATACCAACAGAATAATTACTATTCAGTAGCCCTTGTAGGTCAGAGAACAGCTTAACATCCTTCTGTGCAGACAGAGCAGCGACCAGGTTGGCACAGTAGACTGTAGTTACAACCATCAGCAGCATCCACAATGACGTCATCAAAATCTTCCCCGAGACATTTGTAGGATATCTACTAAAGCCTGCAAAATACATTTTGGCATTTAACTAAAGATTGATTGGCTCGATGATGTCTGGCTGTATACTACAGGAGTGGTAGTTAGAGAGTCTGCTCATCACGCGGAAGTCCCGGGTTCGATTCCCCACAGTGTGTGAAGCCAAGTTCTGGTGCCTCGATCCCGCTGTAATCATACTGGACTATTGCTAAAAGCAGTGTAAAACCATACTTACAGTTCAGTTCTGTCAAAACATTTGAGTGTTAAATTTGTACACAGCTACTCAGGACAAACCTCACGGAAAGTTTATATCTTGATCCAGGGGGCATTTGTCACTAAAAAGGCTCTGCTAAGATACATTTACATCTCTAGCACATTTAGGACAATTTACCAAAATTGAAAGCATATGTTTACTCATAGGTTTACTGAGAAAGAAATGCGTAAAGGAGTCACAATCCGTTACCTGTCATTCATCGTGAATCTCATCTTATACATACCCTGTTTAAACACTGATCCAGTGACTTCCCAGCAAGAATGAAACAGATTCTGTTTCACATTCATCAAATAACACAGACTCACACCTTGAGACTCTGCAGGCGTTTGGCGCAAGAAAATATCCGCACTTTCGAACAGAGCAAAAAGCAGTGGGCATAGTCCGGCCATTAGAAACAGAACGAGGTACACGTTGGGTCTGAGTGGGAGCGCCAAAAGATACAGAGAGCCACTTCGTTGTGTGTCATGCTTCTTATACAAAACATCAATGTACTCGGTGCTGATTGGCGGATATATGTAGTCTATGAACTCAGAGCGGTCATCGTTCATTATCAAGTCACAAGCAGCAAGGTCCACCTCCTGCAAAAGTACACAGTAGTGTCAAATACATTCTCCTTGATTGGTAGATATATGTAGTCCATGAATTGAGAGCGAAGACTATACTCAGCAATACCTACGGCTTCATCATGACAGTTTGAAATATTCAAGTTCAATCTGTAAACAATGGCTTGAACATGTACCACTATCGGGGCATTATGACAGGTGATCAGGCATCTCACCATGTAAGTGATCCTGTCTAGCTATTTAATGCGGCACTCTTATATGACGCTGAACTCCACCTTGCACGGGAATGCCCTGAGCGCATACAACAGTTAGATGGTTGTCCGTAATTTTGGAACAGATTGGTCTTTAGACCAAGTTTAATAGCAGACAAGGAAGATGAGCATATGAGGTGAAGGAACATAGAGTTCCATGGCACACCACAGCACGTTGGAATGATCAGACACCGAATGTCTTTGATAATTCACGGCAACCCGTATAAAGGTACAGAAAGGAAGAATTTGCTAGATTCAGTTTCTGAAGGCTGACACACCACTCTGAGTTGGAAGACTTGGATGGGAGAAAGTCGTAGCCAGAGAAGTGATATGAATACCGGCTGGATGTGTTCCTTTGGCTAAGTCTTATGAACTAGCCTTGCAGATGTATTCTGCAAGTATTGCAGTCACAGAAGACGTGGTTGCAGTTATCCAGGCGAGAAAGAATAAGTGGTTCGTAGTAGGAAGATGACAAATACAAGTGACAAATACAAGTTCTGCAAAGGTACCTAATGTCATCTTCCATGTTAGGGGCGAGGCCAACACCTTTATTGAACTGTGATATTGGAAAGGATTCCTGACCAATTGTTAGACTGTTGACACAACATTTCGGAGAGGAGTAGAACATATACATAGCTACCACAGTCTTAACTTACGTGAGCGAGTGAGTTAAGATTTAAAGTCACATCGGCAATATTTCAGCCATATCGTGACTAAAACTAGTTCTAAATTCATAATACATACATATAATATATAAAACCCTGTCAACGAAGGACAGTAAAACCACTAGATTATCACATATTGAGTTAAACCTAGCTAGCATATATCTTTAAGAGTAGAAACTTGTTTTTGGACAATACAGTGTAAAAAAGGGCTATAGACTTAACTTAGGTTTGACAATGTTATCCTATATCCCTGGCTTCACAGTAGGACAGAACATACACCATGTTCGCCATCAATGTCATTATCCAGATTAAGACAAGGGAATAAAACATTATATCCTATGGTGTCAAATGTGGCTGAAAGATCAAGTAGCTCCAACACTGCATATTTATCTTTACCAACAGGAGATTGTTTTTCACAGAATGCAAGGCTGTTTCTGTGCTATGGGCAGTCTGGTATGCTGATTGGTATCACATCACATACACACAGCCCCTTAGATGCTTGCCTTATTCTCGACTTGCCGTCTTAGAAAGAGGTGTCTGAGCATTATCTAATATGTGTTCAAACAATCTGACAAACAGCAATCCACCAAATATAGTAACCGAAGTGTCAAATTGTTGCGTCATCATATGAATATACTCAGCAATACCTACGTTTTCGTCATTTCAGTTTGAGACTATTCACGTTTAATGTGGTAAACCGTGGCTTGAACATGTACCAGCATGTAATGTGTGGTTAAAACGACGTCACAAAACAGCAATCCAGCAAATGGCATGGTATAGTTTGTCCCAATTACCGTTCTGTTTAGCTGCCCCACAATTCCATTATAGGTGTTGTTGACAGGGAGTCCCCACGACTGATCCTGTGGTTCAGTGATACTGTAACTGAAAGGAGAAATGTTTTATAAGGAAACTACAGTACGTGGAAACTACCGAAATGCACTCACTGGCTGAATGTAATGGATCTGACAGTTTCTCACCTAAAATTAAGAACATCGGCAATTATTTCCAAGATATCTATTGCATATCCTTTATACTGCGTCTTCCCATTGTTGATGGACTTCATAGTGTAGACCGTTGTCTGTAAGAGAATTAAAACAGTACAGCTCAAAGTCTGTAGTGTTGTCTGAGATGAACAAGCATTCTTTCATACGAGTTTTCCAGTATTAACATTCTGTGTCAAAATATATCAAAAGTATCACTACAAATATAAGCAATGCACATATTAAAATCATTGCATTGCATAGCACCTTTCCTTTGGACGATGAAGGCCGAAATTGAAATTAGTCCTAACCAGTTATTTTTTTTAAATAACACAATCCAAACAGTAAGCTGGTAGTTGAACAATACAATAAAATGGTTGTTTGAATTTGATCATCAATTGTGTTATTTTCTGGACAAATACTATGCGTAAAACATAATTTTATTGTTACCTGCTCTGTAAGAACGGTCACCAGTAGATGTCGGTTGTTGTAACCATAGGCAACATTAGGAAAATAGCATGATGTGCTGGTTCGTGAGGTACAATCAGCCACTGCAACCAGCTCGGTTTTCGTAGAATGACGTCTTAAGGTGAAAGCGTTGTGTATCCAGCACTAGGAAATCACATGCAGGTATAACATATTACATGAATGCGTCTGCACATACGTATTTTGTAATAACAAAATGGGGACGGTCTAAACTGTCAGCTACAAAAGGGTGACTGAAAAGTTCTGAGCTGAACCTCGATCCATGTTTGGCACTCTTTCGCCCGTGTACATGTTCAATACGCTAAATGCATTTAAACCATATGCAATACTAGAAGGAGCCATTATTTCTGCATTCACCAAAGTGTCAGTGTCAGACCTATCCACCTTCCTGTAGTAATTTTAAGAGGTTGGCAGTTCAATAGAAGACTTTCAGCAGGACTTCCAACTGTCAGCACTAAGGAAACAGGTTATAAAATGCCACGACGAGGACTCTCAGCACGTCACGCATACGGTACAAGAGGCATCTCTCGTGAGTATTGCGAATTTTCTAAGGAATGAACTTATTTCAACACGCGAGGCTCTTTGACAGTTCAGCCATGATCAGAAACGCTACAGGTGTGTCTTCTCACGGGAGATATACATTATTTTGAGACAGATCGAACTAGTTTCGTCTGAAAATAACTGAAGAGTATATGGTTCAACACAAGTTGGTACATCCCGTGTCTCATTCAACACAGAAAACAAAGACTGTTCAATCAACTGGTAGGACGATGACTTCAGCTATGCTGAAAATCCATTGAAATGTTATAATAATAAGAGTACATTTATAGTGCCTCAGGGACATACTCTAATTACATACAATCTGATTATTATTACCTCGGATAACCCAAGCTGCTTGTGAGGGGTTAGAAGGTTAATAGTCACATGCCTTATCCTACCGGGTACCAGTTTTCTGCTGGGTGAACAGAGGCAAAATTTTGAAAAACTCACTTGGCTAAGGTGAGAACACATACGTCCCATGTGCTTCGTTGTGGGGCAGGACTGAAGTCCAAGAAATTCAAGCAGCCAAACACGTCACACGTCCAAGGACCCTCCGCGCTCAACGCTGCTTAACTACAATTTACTTGTGACCTGAGCTCTAAACACAGGACCACACGCCACCTAATAACCTCCCTATAAAGTAATGGGTAAGATCACCATGGATTTGCGTGGGGCAGAAGGTATGTGAACCCTGGAGGGTTGTGTTGGAAACTGATTATCACCAAACCCCATCAATGCATGTCATTATAACTAGGCCAACTTTGAATATATCACTTGCATTAGCTCCGATACGACATGGTATTGCAAAATAAAAATTGTAGGAGGACACAGTTCTATTGTTATTGTTGTAAATATTTCAATCGTATCACAATAGTAACTATTTCTAAAGCACAAACACCCAAGACAACAGAGTCATGCTGACAACCGACCGAGAATGGTCACATATCTAATCATAACTGCCCATTTAGATACACACCTTATGGTGACTAAGTACAACCACATTTTCCAAGTTCTGGGTCGACAGCGTAGTGACAATGGTTCCTTGCGGAAGAAGCAGCCACTTTGAATGATGTCGAAAATCGGTCATTCCCTTTGTATTTGCATCAAATGAATCAACCTGAATAACAGAGTCAGTTATTATTCGACACGACGTTTGGCAAATTTGCTTCTGACATGACATACATGACGTTGGTTAGCATAAATGAAGTACATAGAGGACAGTTTATCTATTCTGACGTCAAGTAAAAGGATAAATACTAACCATTTTCATCAGCTCGGTCATGTGCCCTTGACTCATAGAAACAACCACGTGTATTTCAGGGAAGAGAGCCTTGTGGATTGTCTGTAAAGTTTTCTTTGTGTCGACGACACTGAGGTCAAACACAAGAATCTGGTGGCTGTTGGTCAATGACTGGGCAAGAGCATGTACTGAACAGTCGTTCTCTGCAAACAACCAAAGCATTCACTATATATCACTATGGCGAAAATACGCTGCTGATACACGTGTTGATAGTCTGACATATGTTTTAAGTATATTCTTGTTCTGATAATATCTTTCATTTTGTTTTGTTCAGTGGTCAATGCAAAACCTCACTAAAGCATGGACCAAGTTAACAATATTTTAATATTATCTTACTTTCGCCCGTTCGTGTATTTAAACAGGTGATACGTCAGAAATTGCATTACACAAATGTTTTTACAGAAAACCATATTTCACAAATCGATGCAATTACCGGTTTGTCCATGAAGTAAAATGGCAACCTTATTCCACTGAAGTCTTTGCAACAAATCTCGAAACGGTTCTCCGTTCTCTGGGGTTGTAATTGTTGTAAGACCTGAGAAAATGAGAGCATCAAGCAGTTAAAGATTGGAGTATGTTCATATCTTAAAAATAAGCAAATAGCTCTGCAATGTAGAAATTGCATCTATAGGACTGTAGTGAGTGAGTTAATTTTCAGCCTTACATCGGTAATTATTTCATCCATAGCGTGAGCAGAACAACTTTTATATATATATATATTTTTGGGCCTGTACTGGTTTGACGTCACCTTGTCCCACAACATGACCTAAATAAGTTACTGTGGCTTTCACAAATTCACTCTTGGTCAAGTTGATAGTGAATTTGGCTTGTGTTAGAGAGTCAAACAACATCCAAATGGTCTTCATCTGCTGATCCCACTCGTCAGTAGCCACGATGACGTCATCAATGTATGCGTCACACTGGTTAAGTCTTCCTGTGATTGTGTTGATAAGTCTTTGAAAGGTAGCTGGCGCATTTTTCAATCCAAAAGGCATCACATTATATTGATATAAGCCTTCTGGTGTAACCAAAGCTGATACTTGTTTTGCCCTATCTGTTAACGGGATCTGCCAGTATCCCTTCAATAAATCAAATTTGCTTACATATCTAGCTTTTCCTATCAATACAATCATCAATTCAAGGCATTGGATAGGAATCAGATTTAGAGAGAGCATTGACTCGTTTGTAGTTATTGTATAGTCGATCACCTCCCCCAGCCTTAACTACAAGTATACATGGAGAACTCCAATCACTATTGCTGGGTTCGATGATGTTATTGTCCAACATGTATTGAATCTCAGTTCTAAGCTGAGCTAATTTGATTGGGTTCATACGATAAGCATGTTGCTTGACAGGAGTTGCCTCCCCTACATCTATGTCATGCTAGATAAAAACTGTCCTAGATGGTACATCTTGAAATAAATGTGAATATACGTGAATTGACTCCTCCAGTTCTATTTTCTTTTCACAAGTTACATGTGATAACTTAGCATCTAGATTGTTTAAGACATCAGAGTTATTAAGCTTCACATCAGGTTCTTTGCTCTTTGTACAAGAGTCTCTAGCCATCATTCTCAGTTATTTCTACTATGTCTATTGTGCTTATACTCACAGTCTTTGGTACACTTTCAGTATACCTACCATAGTATGGTTTCGTCATTCTTTTGGCCTTCCTCTGGAGTTTCTATTTCATAATCTGTGTGATATGGGCCATAGAACCTAGCTCTAAATGGATGTCCTGGTATTGGTAGAAGGATGAGTACTTTGTCACCTGCTACAAACTCTCTATGTTCTGCTTTTGTATCATACCAGGAACTTTAATGGTCCTCGAACTGTACTCGGGTTCGATCCCTGACCGCGTCATACCAAAAGACGTTAAAATATGGTACTTGTTGGTCCCTGCCTGGCGCTCGGCATTAATGGGTACAACAGGGACTGGTCAGCACGGAATCAGTATAATGTGTCTGAGTGTATACAGTGAGGGTATACACTTAACTCTTCTCTCTCCTCCTGCTTGGCACACGGTATCTCACTAACCTTAGGTATATCAGCTACAACCTTATCTTCTGCAATATCATTGTCCATGATAAGTGATACAACTGGTACTGGCAACGTTGACATGATGCCAACCCTAACAGATCATGTCACTAAAACTTCAAATGGACTTCATGAAGTGGTACCTTAATGTAACCCCCGATTCCCCGCATAAGGACACTGGTTCCTGTGAACGTTTTCTCAGAAAATGGTAGATCATTTTTAAGCATAAGAGTCTGGAGGGCTCCAGTATCTCTCATGATATCTACAGGTTTTTTGAGACGGACCTATCACCTACTAAGGACACTAATCCTTTCGACATAAAAGAAGAATAACCTTTTTCAAAGCGGACCTTGTCTACCTGCACATCCTCAACATCCACTTCAGACAACTGATGTGATATCACCGAGGCAAGAGCATGTGGCAACTGTTCACCCTGAGATTTGTTCTTCAGTTTCCAACATGCACTTAACAAATATCCCTTTTTCTTACAATACGAACAAACTGGCCCTAAACTCATCAATCCTGCTGACGGGTTTCCCTGTGGAGAACTAAGTGCCCTACTTGTCATCTCATTATTGTTAGGACCTTTAACTGAAGGCTGAGACATTCCATCACCTGTAGCATTACCACATGTAACATTTGACCTGGGAAAACTACTCCGTGAAGCCTTTGACTGACTAGCAGAACCAAACTTCCCTCTACTATGGTAATCTGCACTTCGCAGTGAAGCCTTATGTGTAAGTGCATACATAGCCATCTGCTAGAGTAGCTGCTTGCTCTAATGTTTCAGCCTTTTGTTCATCCAAATAAGTTTTAATGTCACATGGAAAACACCTTTTTAACTCCTCAACCAGCATAAGTTGTTTCAATTTCTCATAATCCTTGTTTATCTCTTTGGATGAACACCATCTATCAAGCATCATAACCTTGTTTCTAGGAAACTAAACGTAAGTCTGCCCTTCGTGCTTTCTACAGTTTCTAAACTTTTGTCCATAAGCCTCGGGAACTAACTCATAAGCTTTCAGCATGACACTCTTAGCCACCTGATAATCAGAGCTCTGATCAATGGACAGAGCTGCATAAACCTCCTGGGCTTTGCCTACTAGAACACCCTGAGCAAGTGTAGTCCACGAATCTTCAGGCCATTTCAGATTTGTGGCTAACTTTTCAAAACGCAAAAAGAACTTATCAACCTCATTTTCATGAAACGGGGGAATACGTTTCACAAATTTTGCCACATCAAATCCCTTTTTCTTCTCATTACTTAGTTTCTGCTGTTTTATCTTCAGCTCTAACTCCAGCTTCTGAATATCTAATTGCCTGGATCTCAATTCCCTTTCTGTCTGCTCTTTCTCTTTTTTGGACCTCTAATTCCATTAAGATGATTTTTTCACTCTTGACTATTGATTTAGGTTCAAGACTCTCATCTAAAATATGTTCATCCACTAACACCACACGAAATGACTGTACTACCCAAATTTTCTAACGTTAGTAAATAAACGTTTCATCCGGCGGCCATATGAACAACGTTTGAAATCTACGTATCATCTGGCCGTCAGATTTACACACGTTTAAAGGGGTGTTAAAATAAGCGAACACTCAACTCTGCATTTACATGTATTTCACAGGTGTGTAAATCTGGCCATTGTTTTCATGTGTTTTCTACCATGTGTAACATATGTAAATGCAGTGATTGTAGCACATGCATTTCAATACCTTTGAAATTTCGTATGACCATGGTTAGGTTTGTCATATATTAAGTACATGCGTAAATGGTTGGTAATGGGTAAATATAGTGTTACAAGATTAACACTACTTTAACATGTATTTCAATAGTTCTGTAATGTAACTGTCACATCGGGTTCGTTAGCGCGTCGGACCACGCCATAAGGTAACCCCCTATTACCCCTACATGCCACTACCCCTACAGCTTATAACAACATAGTTTATGGTCTGTTGCACTGTTAATCCACTTCCTGTTACCTATCCCACACAATGGACTAATCCACTTAAGAGACATAACAACTAAAAGGTTGAGATAATGATTTTAATGAAAAGTGATAATCATTTGTCATCATCAAGATTTTAATAAGAATTAACAATAATTCGTCATCATGATTCTTTGATGGACATTAACAATTACTTGTTAACATTCAATGTTAACATAGTCATTTGTGTCAAGTGTTTCAGTCTATGAACATTCACTGTTTCAATCTATCCCAGCTTAAGCAGATAGCCGACGGCGTCCAAGAACTGAAGAGGTGATTTCTGTCCAAGCTCAAGCTGCTCCTTGAGTCTACACAGGCGATTGTCAATCTCCCTGAAGACTCGCTTTCTGCTTCGTGTCGCAGCACCAAAGTCTATTTGTGAAATCTTCACCCTCTCAGCATGTTCAATTCTCCTAATGACTTCTACAAATCTGTATATGTTCGGATGCCTGTGTGGAATTTCACGGTTCAGTCGGTTGTGAAAACCTTCTAGATTGTTGTTTGTCCTCGGCCCAGTTGTCAGGTTGTGGTTCCACAGGGAAAGTAGAAATCTGGCTGTGTCGTCGACCCAGGTTGTCACGATGTAATCGTTGAAGTCGACTGCTCCTGGGACGTCTGGAGTGTCGACCATGGCTTCTACCCACGTGTCCTGGACCGTGTTGTGAGGGAGTAGAGGTAGCCCAGCTGCTCTCCTGATCTACTTGGTGACTTCGGGGTTTTCTTTGTAGGCAACAGCCAGTCCAAGATCCTGAACCATCCTCCAAATGGCTTGACAGAAATGGAAGAAACAACCCTTCACGACTGCAGTTGGAAATTCAGTCTCTAAGGCATGGATTGCTGCTAACTCGAAGTTTATCTTTCATCATGAAACTAAAACAACTTTTAGCTAATCCCAAATTTCCTTGACACAAAACACTAAAGAACAGTTTAATCCCTCCCTTGATCTCATCTGTATACTCTATGCACTAATCTCTCTTTGGGTCAGTTCATTATGCCAGACAGGTAAATGCCGTGTGTTGTTTTAACTAATTGTAGGGGTACTGGGCTGTAGGGGTAGTGGCATGTAGGGGTTATGGGATACAACCCGCCATAATGTACGGAGTTAATTAGAAACACATGGTGAAGTGATACCCATGACTGAGCACCACTTTTAACGTGCGTATCTTTCTTGACATACACATGATGTCTGAGCGATATGTATGTTATGGAGTGTGTGTGCATGTGTGTGAGAAGGAGAGGGTGTGGGATGGGGCACCACACAAAATGACTGTATTGACCAAATTTCCTAACGTTAGTAAATAAACGTGTCATATTATTCCTCGAAATGAAACTCATTTTTTCCAGTATGGTTACTGTTTGCAGAAAATTCGTATTTTAGTTTAACTGAGATTTTCCGTGAAGAAAATGAGTAATATTTAAGATGCAAATACATTAACCATATGTTAACATCTAGCATGGCATGTATAATTATTTGTTACAGAAAAATAACAATATATTTAGGAACAAATTATTAATTTAGCTCTCACTGTAATATTGAAGTTGAAGTTGTTCACCCAAAATTGTTATTCTTCCTTACTGCTCCACATTCTAAATGCCTCACAGAAGTTAATTATTATTCCTTAGTTACATTCAACCCTGGAGTTTGCCCATTCATTTTTGTATTTGTTTTACACAGATACATATGTCTTTACTATAAACTATATCTGAACAACATGTGTATGTGATAATGTGTAAACGCCCACTATTGATGACGATGATTTGCCTATTTGAATGGCGGGTCCTACAGGTAGAGTAGGACCTTTCGCGAACACTTGGTGTTATCATTGATTTTATTGATCCATTCATTTACTTTCCACCGCTTTTTCTCCTTGAAAACAAACGGATTATGTTTCTGAGGATAGTCAAAACTGGGCATTTACAGTAATTCCTTGGGATATCACAACATATTAGTTACGTATGCTTCGGCAACA